GCTCATGCTTCTGTTGCCGAAGCACCTGCCAGTGCTCTTTGAAGTGTCTTCCTCTCTGGGAAAGTGCCTGCAAATCTGCTAATCCTGGGTTCGGAGACATCGGGGCGATCGCTCCACTCCATCTCGGTTGAATAATCTAGAATCTTCTTCAAGGTATATATATATATATACGTATATGTATTATAATATATGTATAGAATACATATATATAGTATTATGTCGAAACCGTAAAAATACACATACAATCCACACCCCCGGCATTGAAACCCTTCCCGAAAGGCAGGGAGCTGTCTTAGAACATTGACCCTAAACCCTAAACTCTGAAACTTTGCCCTAAACCCTAAACCCTAAACCCTATAAACCCTTAGACCCTTTTTGCTTTCCGGGTTGTTGCAGTGGCCGGGCTTCACAGCTGGCCCTAAACCCTTTTGCAACTGGACTCCTTGCTGGCCCTAAACCCTAAACCCTAAACCCTAAACCCTAAACCCTAAACCCTTTTTGCTACTGGGCTGAAGGTCTAGCCAGTCTCCAGACCTCAATCTTCTTGAGCGAGGCTGACATGCAAAAGCCCTGATGCTTGCATCCAGGCGAAAGCCGCTTGTAAGAACTATACTGTAGCATAGCAGCCATAGCAAAAGCATGCACGGAATAACGTCAGCCAACAGACAAACCTGCACGGATGCGCCTACGTTCTTCCTTGAGTGCGAGGCGCTGTGCTCTGTGCTGATTCCGTAGAATTTGTATAGACTCAGGCTGGAAGGCAGGCTCACTCTCACGGAGATCCTTGAACGAACCATGTCGAACGGTGGGTGGACCCGCACGTGGTGGTATCATGGATTGATCTGACCCTGAGGTTCGTGAAGTAACTTCCGATGGTGCAGCACTTTCCTGCACTAAAAGTCTGCGATCAAAGTCAGTCACTTCCCGAATGACCGTCTGAAGAGCCTCCTCGTATCTCTGCACGAGAGCTTTGCATTGTCGTTCGGAGATTAGTTCTTCATATGTCTGAGTGCTCACATGACAAGCCTTGACGCTCTGATGGCTTTCCCGGGAACAAGTCTGGGAGCTGCGCACGGCCTCATCCGATTCCTGAAGGTTCAGTCCCTCGAACAGGCTGATTTTTCGTTTTGTTTTTCCGGTGGAGTCTTCAACCAGTTCTCGCAGCACCTGATTCAGCTTTGGAGTGGCGAAAGCGCATCCCAACTTAGAAGAAAGACGCAGCGCGTAAGCCAAGCAGGATACCAAGCTCCTCCGGAGTTTTCCTTCTCCGTCATCCATGGCAGCAAAGGAATTCCTAATTAGAAATGCTCACTAGAGCCTCGTAGCCAAAATGTCCTTGAGCCGTAGCCATTTTAAACCCTAAACCCTAAACCCTAAACCCTAAACCCTAAACCCTAAACCCTAAACCCTAAACCCTAAACCCTAAACCCTACCACAGGGAAGCCCGGCCTTCCATTCGTCCTGCCACTCTTGCAAGCTTGTTGCCGCTTCCTTCTCCGAGCTTGGCGAGAAAATCCAGGACCTGACGCTCGCATGGGGTTTAGGGTTTAGGGTTTTAAAGTGTACGGTAGGGTTTGGGGTTTAGGGTTTAGGGATTAGGGTTTAGGGTCTATAGTCTAGGGTTTAGGGTTTCGGGGGCATGGCAGTGAAGTACATCAGCCCGGCAGTGCATCAACCTCTTGCCACTAGAGTTGATGCAGCATATGGCGGCGCCATTCAAGCAATCTGTCTGCTTGATGCTTAGACCTCTCGACCTTCATGTTTCGTTCTAGCTGATCAAGTGCCACACCACTGCAAATGCACATTGGATCCCTGCCATTACCCCAATAGACATCCATCTCCTCGATTTCAAACTACTGCACAGGGGACAACCAGTCCCAAGTGCGTAACTCGAAGCCCCCCTGAGCCCAAAAAGTCCGGACGTCCTCACTGTATTGCGCCCTAAACCCTAAACCCTAAAAAACCCTAAACTCTAAGCCCTAAGCCCTAAACCCTTTTACATCCAGGCCTCTAAGCCCTAAACCCTGAAACCATCTGAAACCCCGCATCAAGGCAAGTGGCACGAGGCCCTGCAACGAGACCTGCCCATTCGGGCCGCGTGGCAGGATGCTCATCAGGAGATCAACATCCTTGCGCAAGTGGGAAACAGGGCCGACAAGTATAGGGTAGGAACCATGAGAAAGGCCTAATATGCGAGATGAACAACGGCGAGACCAGCAAAAGCTTGCATTCGGAAACTGCTGCCTTTTTCTCGGGCGGCTAAACGCCATCACCGGGAACCATTCTGACGCGCTGTTGCGACGTGGGAAAACTCATTGAAACTGCAGAATACACAAGAGTTTGACCCGCCCTTGGCTCAAAGCATCTCATCTGATAGGAAGGCCAGTGGCCATGTCAATGTTCATGGCTTCTCCGCGCGTGAATTTGGCAATGTTGTCACCGCAGCCATCCACCACCCGTTGCCGCGCCTCCACGCGCTGCCAGCCGATGTGTGGTGTGAGGATCACATTCTCGAACTCGTCGAAGACATCATAGAGGGGGCTGTTCTCTGGGAGCGGTGGCGGGGGGGCGGAGCCCTCGCCAAAGACATCCAAGGCGGCGCCCGCGATCTTCTTCTTGCGCAAGGCGTCGATGATGGCTTCTTGGTCCACGATGGGGCCACGCGCTGTGTTGATGACGTAAGCGCTTGGCTTCATCTTGTCGAAGCATTCGGCATTTAGCAGGCCCTTGGTGTGCTTGTTGAGCGGCACCATGGGACTTATGAAATCCGACTGCTTCAAGAGGTCATCGAAAGTCACCACCTCCACGCCGGTGTCACGCATGCCTAAGGGCGTGGATGGCATATCCGAGACGATGACTCTCATTCCAAGATTCAGTGCCTTCTTGGAGATGTTGGAGGCGATGTAGCCCAAGCCTCCGATAATGCCATAGGTCTTCCCTCGGATCTCGAAATGGTCCAAGTGTCCCAGGTGGCACTGCCTTGGGGACGAAATGAACCCTAAAATTGGGGTCATATACCCTAAACTACTATAATGACCATGAAGGTATAATTATGAGCCATAATCCCTTTTAGGGTTCATTTCGTCCCCGAGGTGCTGCATATAGCGCCGGTCGCCTTTCGCTAGGGCCTTCATCTGCGCAGCCAGACTGCAAGACAAGGCCATGACCTCTACGGATGTTGGAACCCGAGCTTAAAATCTTTGTTTTTGCTGCTTCTTACAAAATAAACATGACCTCTACGGATTTTGGAACCCTAGCTTAAAAATTCTTGGCTGTTTCTTACAAAATATAGCACCCAGAAATTAGAAGCTAATTCCCAAGTATCCCTAAGTGACCAGCGTGATGGCGTAGTCTCCCATGGCCTCGGTGGTGTATTCGGGCACGTTGCAAATGGCGATGCCCTTCTCGCGGCAGGCGTCCAGGTCAATGTTGTTGTAGCCGGTGCCTGCCTCTGCAATAAGCTTCACGGAGGGTGGTAAAGCTCTGATGATATCACCTGGGATGGGAAACTCCTTGTTCATCACCTTGGTAGCCCAGTAACCATATTATCATAAGGACACCCTTTTTTGGGGTTGGTCATTTTATAACGGAACCCATAACCAAAAAAAAAGGGTACAGCAAAGGGTACCACTGGGCTACCAAGTCACGATGTCCATGCCCTGCGCGCGCGGCACGATCTCCTCGGTCGCGGAGATGTCGTGGCTGGTGAGCTCGGCCACCTCCGTGACCTTCTTCCAATCCATGCCTCGGCGGACGAAACGAACCCGAACAAAGGGTTTATGGCTCGTACAGTACACCTTCATAAGAATTACAGTCTTAATTGTAGGGTATAGGACCACACCATAATAGGAACTACAGTAGTCATTAATTATAGGGCGTAAGACCCCCCAATTTTAGGGTTATTTGCTCCCCAAGGTGCGGCCATCGAAGTCCAGGCGGGCTGCGTTCAGCATGACGCATCGCGGCTTCGCGGCGAAGCCGCGGCTCAGCCGCAAGCTACCTTGGGAAGGAAAATGAACCCGAAAGTTGGGGGTTCATATGCCCTATATACTACTGTAATTCCTATTAAGGTATATATATATATACCCTAAAGTTGGTGTCATATACCCTGTATTACTATAGTTCCTATTAGGGTATATGAACCCTAAACCCCTTTAGGGTTCATCTTGTCCCCAAGGTACTCCGCAAGGCGTGCGAGGAGCTCAGGGAGCTGCGCAGCATCCGGGAGAACATGGCCGACTTAAGGGCCAAGAACTGCAGGAGACCTCTTTCTGACCTTTGATGAGAGCCTTTGAGCCTGAAACTCGGGAAGCAGCGGCGTGGCACAGGCCTCACCCTCAGGGTATTCTGTCGTCTTTCGTACAGAAGTGCTCGCACAGCGACGTGCAAGAAGATGCGCAAAAGGCAGCAGGGCCCTGGCGGCTTCCGGAACGAACGGCAGTGCCTTGGCCGAGCTGGCTCTCATGTAATTCCTTTTTGAGTTACTTATTGGGGGATTATTATAGTATACTACACCAAAATAATACTACATTAGGAGCCTTTCGGTTGAGCCTTTGCCGGCTTTTGCTGCCGAGCTGCTCTTCGCAGCAGCAGCGCCAGGGCTTCCTCCGAGAAGCTCGAAGAAAAAGCGCAGCCGCCTAGAGTCGAGGAAGACGCGGGGAGGGAGAGGGAGAGAGAGAGAGAGAGACAAAGAGAGAGAGAGAGAGACACAGACAGAGACATAGACAGAGAGAGCTGATGTCCCTGCCACTCCCGTCCCTGAGGCAGCAGCTCCTCCAAACAGAGAGGCGGCTCACGCCCTGAGTGAGGCTGACTGAGCGTGGGGATGTGACACCTAGACTCCGACTCCTAGACACCTGCCCTCCCCTCCCCTGCTCCGCTGGCCGAGCCGATGACCATGGCCTCGTGCGCTTCGTCCAAGACCTGAGCTGCAGATTTTATGGGACCCGGGGGACAACTCTGTTGCCGATTGGCTGCTTCCCAATGCTACCCAGCTGCTTTTTCGTACATCCGTTGTGCCTGAGCAAAATGAGGCGCAGATCGGCACATGCCGTCTCGGCGCCATGCAAGACCAAGTACCGGCACGCCCTGCAAACCCCTGCCTTGGGCAGCTGGTATGCACGTTTCGCACTTCGCACGACATCCACCCATGCGGCCCAGGCAATGTCGAGGAAAACCTCCTCACAGTACAGGCGAGGAAGAATGTTCAGAGACGCAAGGACAGAGATAGTAAGAGATAGGAGGTAGAAAGAGAGAGAGAGAGAGACAGAGAGAAAGAAAAAAGATAGTGACGGTCATTCCTTGCTGATCATCTGGAATCTGGCACACGCCTTCTGCAAACATACTCGCCCCCGCATCCATCCAGGGCCCGGACGTTCCACTGCCTGAACAAGCGTTCGTTCTCGTGCTTCGTTTTGTCTCTTGGTCTCCCTCCCGATAACCCTTTTTCCCTAAACCCTAAACCCTAAACTAGCACAAGGAAGCAAAGCGAGCCTCTCCAATGGCTCGGAAATCAGCGCCAAGGCAAGCAGCGCACGGCGACGCCTCTGCAAAGTGAACAAGCGTACCAGGATGAGCTTTTTGGGTTTGGGGTTTATAGGGTTTAGGGTTTCGGCTCTCGCACTCGCACAAGGCAGGCAAGGACTCGGTCGGAAGGTTCTCACTATGACAATCCGCAGATTCCCACTCAAGCGCAGCTCCAAACGCCACAAACCAAAAGTGTAGGTCAACGAATCATGTGGAGGTGGAATCTCGTGCTGCGAGGACAGTTGATTGACAAAACTCGTTCCATCTGACACTACATGTTTGTCTACTAGGGTTTAGGGTATAGGGTTTTGTGAAAACGTGCTGTTTGAAATCTTGGCAACTTGTGCACGAATCAAGGGTGTAAAGCTAACTCTGACCCTAAACCCAGCAAGTCAGTCCTTCTCAACTTCTGTGGAAAGCCCACAGCAAACCCCCGCGCCAATTGCAAGCTCATGCACTGCGAGATAGTCTTTGTCCGAAACGAAATCTCCAACAACAAGCTCTACCAGCAAGGGGAAACCCGCAGCAAGTACTCCAAACATGCTGCCATTCAACAAGCCTTACATTAGCATTCCCCCTACCAGGCATCCGAAAAGCAGCATCCGAACCCCTCAGCCCGTCACAGTTGTTGCTTGCATACTTCTGTGACGTGGGCATGGAAGGCAGAACACCAGTCGTCCATCGATGACCCGGCCTGCTTGTGTTCTTAGCTAGTTCAGCCTAAACCACTACTTCGTACCTTATTGGGCTCCTTATTGCAAGGGGAATCCTACTATTTGGATCTATATTAGGGGCCCCCTATTTTTGCAAAGCCGCATATGGGAATAAGTGCAAGCTGTCCCTGAAAAAGGAGGAAGAATATTTCTGCCACAAGGTTAGCTGGCGCAACTACTTCGTCGTGCCAAGGGCTGTGTTCAGTTGAGAAGCTCTTAAACCCTAAACTTATTTTTTTTAACCTGGGCATGTTGAATTCAAGCATGCACCCTTCCTGAATCCAGACTCTTGATGCCAGCTGGCACGGCAAGGCAAGGAGACCCGTCAACTAAGACAAGACCTGCACTGAAGCCTAACCCCTTTTTGCATACCCTAAAACTAACCCTAAACCGTAAACCCTAACTCTGCGAAATGAAGCTCTGCTTCGTGACCTGAGGGACTGGAGACACGTCGGGAGCAATGTCCATGGCATTCGGACGGCTCTACACTGAGACTTTGCTCAGTGGCCGGCAATCGGTCAGAAGGCTTTCATTTTGTTGCGTGCGACCATCATTTTCTTTTTCTGGAGCGCATACTAGCCGCATATTCTTGTGCCGTCCTGCGCGCGGTCTACATGCTGCTTGGGCCATCCTTTGCGCAACGATGCTCCTAAGTGCGCCACAGGCTCGCCGATACTCAAACCCACCAAGCCGGGGCTGAGAGTCCCCTACCATTTAGGGGGTTTGCGATACTAGATCCTGCTATTTGGGGGTCTATTTTAGGGGTCCCTTACGATCGTAAACCCCCATGTAGGGCAAGGCTTGCTTGCTTGCTCTGAGAAGACACCAGTCGCAGCCTGACACTCCTAGGGTCCGACATCCTAAAATGCCAAGAACAAATGTCAAGAAACATGAGAAGCCCTACAGCGCACATCCAATGCACGAAGGACACTTTTTTGACACACAGCCCAGAAACGACGGCCTCAAGCCGCCCATGTCTGGCATCCGGTTCAGTTGACGCCGAGGAGCAGTCTTCTGTCCCTGTCGCCGTCGCGCCCAGATCTTGGCTATGCTTCTTGGGGAGATGGAGCACTGGAAGGCCATGCAGAGTCATGTCCTTGGTAGCAGGAACAAAAACAGGCTGCGCAACTGCTCCAGCTATGCTTGTCCTCGTCTTGCTGCATCCTTGTCTGTATGCTTTACCGTACAACCCTGCAATGCCCCTGCACTTTGCAGGGGGTGGTTTGGTTTGCCTTTCTCCCCGAGGCGACCCAATAATTAGCAGAGCACATTACCGGACAACTCCCAGACAGCGCCTTTTTTTCCGCTTCTGAAGAGAGCGCCTCTCGTACTTCCGCGGCCGTGGCCTGGGCCACGTCACTCAAGAGTGCAGCACTCTGCTGAAAGTGCATGCCACACGCGTCGATGGCGGAGGCATAGGCGACACTGTCAATGGCATAGTGCGCAGAGCTCAAGTCGTTCAGCATGTCCAGAACACACAGCCACTTTGCAGAAACTGCACAGGCCAGAATCGCAGCGTTGTGTGTTTTTGCATCTACGCGCAGCGCTGCAGCAGTCGTGGCCTTGCAAAGCAGCAGTGCAGCCTGCCATTTCCCGTCGTGCTCGCATGCACTGACAATTGAGTTTAAGGTGACCTCTGTGGCTGAGAGCCCGTGTTGCTTCATGTGGGCCACCTCAGTCAAGGCTTGCAACCAGCGACCGCCTCTGGCAAGTGCTGCAAGCACCTAGGTTTTCAGCAGTGACTGATGCTGTGCTGGAGTATGTCTTAGCCATCAGTTCTGTCAACGGATTCAGCTACCACTTTCCTCTCAAGGGCCCAGGGACAGCATTCTGAGAGATGGTGCTGCATTCAATCCCGCAGCCCTGCAAAAGCACAAAGCTGCCCAGCGCTTGAGGCCACTGCTGCCCCTCCTCCAATCAAAGCGCTGGGCCAAGGTCTATGAGCCCAAAGCGCGAAATCCTAACCCAAAGCCTCTGTTTCGCAAAGAGCTACACGTCTGTGAGGGCGTCTTAGCAGCAAGCCCTCATGCTTTGTGCTCAGTAATTACTGGGCTGCACAAGCCCGAACTCTCATTGCGCTGGTTCCAAACACGGTGTCCTCACAAGCACTTATGGCAGTGGAGTAGGAGATGATGTCTGCTTCCAGCCCACGGTGACACAACTCCGACAGCAACCCGAGAGCTTCGAGCCAGGTGCCTCGACCAGCATGACCACTCCTCGGCTTGCAGCTGTGGCTGAAGAAATGGTGCCCTTTCATGCAGCTGCTGTGGAGGCCAGATGTGGGTTCATATAGGGACCCTTGACCGCGCACCAACTAAAGATGAAACAGCATGCAAGTTCAGGAGCCTAGAGTCAAGACCGCATTGTATGTGATGGCATCCGCGCGAAGAGATTGACGTACGACCTCTCTGAAGATGGCGGAAGCCTCCTCCCACTCGCTGCACCTCGCAAGAGCACTGATGGCTGCATTGGCAATAATGAGGTTGAGCCCCAGCACCGGCAGCTCCAGTCTGTTAAGAAGCCTCTTGACTTGGGTGCTGCTTCTACTGCTGCCACAGGCATTGACCACGGCTCCGAAGGCAACCAAATCAGGCTCGACATCGGCCTCGGCCATGTCTGTGAACATCTGAAGGGCCATAGCCCAGGCACTGCCCTTCTCACAAGCAGTGATGGCTGCTGCGAAGGTGACAGCATCTGGATGCAGCTGCTGGGCTCGTGCCTCCTGGATCAGCAGCATGGCCTGCTCCCACTTCCCCGCAGCCTTGCAGGCACCAATCGCAGAATTCAGAACTTCCAGGCTTGCGCCGAGCCTTTGCGCGGTGTAGTCACTTATCAATACTCCCGCCAGTCGCCAGCTTTCCAGGCCTTCGCAGCCTGCGCATGCCGCGCTGTACGTGAAAGTATCTGCTCTGATGGCTGTGGCACGAGATTCGCCCAACAACATGCCCATGGCTTCCCATGCTCCACGCTTGCCTGCACTGAGTGCCGTGTTGAACGAGACAGTATCAGCTTCCACTGCTGTGTCTCGGAAATGCGCCAGCAGGAAAATGATAGCCGGCCAATTGCCATCTGCATAACTCCGAAGGAGAGAATTGCAGGTGATGGCTGTGACACTGACGTTCTGAGTGTACATCGGGACCAATGCAGAAAGTGCCTTTCTCCACTGGCTGCTTTCACCCGACGCCCGCAGGACTGCGTTGTAGGTTAAGCCGTCAGCCTCTAAAGTGGCTAAAGATAGCTGGGCCAAAAGGCATGCCGATTGCACCCAGGCCCCCCGTTGCTCGTATATGTGCATGAGGGCATTGAATGCGGCGACATCGAGGGGGGTGTCTGCGACCTGGCCACATGTCCCATAACTATTGCGGTTTTGGTCCGACCATGAGGAGACTTAGCATATCGAGTCTCAAACTTAAGGTGCCTATTTCCCCACCCACGATCCCCCCTCCCCCCCCCCGCCTTTGCATCTTGCAGGAGCCCGGCACCCATCGCCCAGTGTGACTTGGCCGAGGCAGCACACGCCGTCGTGTAGGTTACCGCATCCCCCAAGCGCCGTTCCTTGACCTCGCCGAAGATCTGCAATGCCCACTTCCACTGCTGGGCCAATGTGCCGAGTACGGTATTGAAGCTGATCATGTCCGAATTGCTGCCCAGCGCAGCAAGGGCTGCCAAGGAATCCTGCCAAAGTCCGCGGCTGCCCAAGGAGGCCAGCGCTGTGTTGATTGTGACGAGGTCGGGCTTGATCCCAAGGTTCCCTGCACTTTCAGTGAGTAACAGCACCAAGCGCCACCTCGCAGCTCTCCGGCAATCGCGGAGGGCAGTGTTAAGAATGACAACGTTCCCTTGGCATCGGCTCTGCCGAGAGTCTGTGAGCCTCAAGATTGCAGCCCGCCATTTGCCAGCCGCTTTGGCTGCACATCTCGTGCTTGGTGGTTTCTTCCGCATCCGTCCCAAGTGCTATCCCAAGCCTCGTGGCACTCGAAACTCCTGCCTCATCTTCCTGAGTGGAGGTCCTCTTTGCTGTCAGCTGGCGTCCCGTGACGGCCACAAGTCTAGACTTCATGTCTGTCACGCCGGGCAACCAAAAACAGATTCTTGCAACAGCGCGTGCCTAGCAGATTCATGCACCACCATATGGCGACTGGGCTACACTTGGGGAGTAAATGCCATAGACCAAAGACAGAATTTGAAGAGCGTACTCTAAGCTTGGGAACTCCCCCAATGGTGACCCTGCGCCTCTACCTAGGAGTGGAACCCTTGATCTGAGATGGTTTTTGCATTTGCAAAGCCGCGCTCCTTGAGTCTACGCCAGCGTCTGTGAACCTTCAGATGCCAGGAGGTGTGAAGGGTGGCAATGACTTGGTAGGTCAGAAACCATAGTATACAAGTGGGCACCCACCCCCCCCCCCCCCGTCAATTTTGGAGTTGGTTGCTTGTCTAGGGATGTCCAGAACCCCAACAAGGGTCAAGCAAGATGATCCGGTGGAGGTCTTCGCTTCCTTCGTCCTGCCTGAGCTACCCCGTGACAGCTGAACTTCTCTGAAGACAATTTCAATGATAGATTCAGAGGATGGAGCAACCTTGTAGCTATGAAGTCCACAAGATCGGCCTTTCCAGACGCTTCTCTAAGCCTTATGACCCTACAAAACCTTAGCGCCCTCTCATCCACAAGATCTGGTCATCCCTATCGACAATCATCTTAACTTCGGGCCTTGTGAGGGGGAGGAAGGTCCCAAACCTCTAAACCCTAAACCGGGGTGGGGGGGGGTTCCTATAGCAAGAATCAGGATCAGTGTTGGTGGGAGTTCCCCTGTTTTGGGAAGCATCCATAATGTGGAATTCCTCGCTTTGGCTTCAAAATCACGCGAAGGCCCATCAGGAGCATGGATGTCAAGCTGACTGGTGTAACCGTGTGGGTTGCTCTACATTTCTGTTCAGTTTAGGTGCGCTTTACATTCGGATTCCTTGTCAACAAGGTCTTCTTCATTCCAAACAGCCCCATCGCCCAAGCCTTTTCCTGTCTCGCTCAGGACAGTCGCATGCAGTCACGTGGGATCGCAAAAAAGTAGGTGAGGCCTACTTCGACTTGTATCTATGCCAAGGAACCGAAGCCCATAAGCCCTATAGCCCCCTAAACATTCTCAAGCCGCCGCATACACACCAAACACCCTTAAGCCCTCCAAAATGATTTGCGTGACGTTGGCCGTGTGAGTCAAGTGGACATGTGGGAATGAAATAGCCCACTCCCAAGCAGGAAGCTTGCATCCCGTGCAGCAGCCACAGGGCAACTGCCCTAACCCTAAACCCTAAACCCTAAGCCCTTTTTTGAACCCAGACTCTGCATAAACCCTAAACCCGAAGCCCTAAACCCTAATCTCTGATGGACCGCTCCACTTTCCTCGCCAGGCCCCCGAGCAACTCGGGAGCCTCCGAGCGGCGCTGGCTGCGGCCGCAGGCGCCCAACGCCTGGGTTTGGCGGAGCTGAGGGTTTAGGGTTTAGGGTTTAGGGTTTAGGGTTTAGGGTTTAGGGTTTAGGGTTTAGGGTTTAGGGTTTAGGGTTTAGGATTTTTTGCCCTCCTGCACAGCTGGGGCGAATCCGCATCGCAGGGCGATTTCGAGTCCGACTGGCTTGAAAGGGCGTCGCCTGAGGCCACATCTCCCGCACCCGCACCCCAGCTCAACCCTGCAAGAAGATGACACCCAGAGTCTCCCGAAGATGCCGCCCCTAGGCAACTGTGTGTGCGCCTGTCAAGGTCGACCCACGTTGGGAGTCACCTAAAGGCCACTGTGCTCCTTTTACAGGGAACCCATCCCCCCCCCCCCCCCCACAACACGATTTAGAGTTTAGGGTTTCTGCAAGCAGTCTCCGCAGCAGCAGGCTTCACGCTAGTGCAACCAGGCAAGCAACCCCCACCCCTGCATCAAAGGGCAACCTCAGGGTTTAGGGTTTAGGGTTACATGTAGGGGCCCCCCTGGTTATGAAAAGGGTTCTAAGGGCCCCTAGTTGGGTTGCAAGTCCTACGATTTAGGTTTACAGTAAGGGGGGGCACCTACTTGTAAGGGTTTTGGGGCTAGGCTTCTTTGAGGGCTCTAGGGTTTTTTGCAACCCGCGCGAAGACTACGGGTTTAGGGGTTTAGGGTTTTAGGGTTTTTTCAGGGCTTAGAGCCACACTGGAGGGTAGCAGTTCGGGACGACTGAACACGCTGGAAACATTGTTTCTCGCTCCTTTCTTTTCATCGGAGCCCAGGGGCAAGTGCTCACCGGTACGCTGCTCAACTGTACAGCAGCCCCTTGCCCATTGAGGCTCAATGTTTCCCGACTTTGGGACAGCCAAAAGCCAGAGCTCTCAGAGGGGTTCTTGGTCTAGGGCTAGTTAGGGCTTGAAAGCCCGGTATGGACTGGAAAGCAGAGAGCTCCGACTCAGAACCAACCCAAAAGAAGCTCAACTGGAAACTGCCCTACTCGGGGCTGGAGTAAGCTGAGGGTTTAAGCGTTGTGTCGAACTGATCCGAGAGTTTTTTTTAACCTTGACTTTGTTTGGGGCGGCTTCGGTGGCTGCACGACGATGGTCAGTGTCTCCCCGTCTTTGATGCCATGATCAGCCATGGTTCGTGCGTCTTCAAGTTCCACCGAGCTGAGAATGAGCTTCAGGACAGAGCCATCCGAGTAGCCAGGCGGGGCATCTTCATGCTCATAGGTCTTCCGGATCTGGTGCTTCACATCACGAATGGTATTCGAGATCTGCACTGGAAGAGGGATGGAACGACCAGATGCATAGAGCAAGTGGACGGTGATGGAATCGTCAGAACCAGAAGCCGGTGATGTGTCGGCTGATGCCGCGCCATCGGCGTCAGCCTTTGCAAGCACTGGAGCCTGCAGCGATGTATCCATGAAGCTCATCCACGAGCAGCTTCGTCCCTAAACCTATACAGATAGCAGACTCGGCCCTCGAGCCAAAACGGTTTAGGGCTAGGACCTATAGGGCGATTGTTTTGCCACCTGCCTAGCCTTCCTGCCCATAGCCTTCCTGCCTAGTAATCTCACACCACACTGCTGGGATGCAAAGCTAGTCATGTCTGGTCTATATGCTGCAGGACAACTGAACCATCGAAACCACGTGGATTCCGGAAAAACTCACCCAGCAGCATGGCACTCAAGCCACTCTTCAAAGCTTTGCATCCTCAAGCCCAACGAAATCTAAAGACTTAGGTAGTTGGAGCGGGAGCTTGGCTGCATGATTGTTTGCCACAATAAGGCCCGAAGAGCTAGCCACCGAGCCTGCTTCGCTTCTACCCACCATCGCTACTTCGCTGCTTAGCTTCGCAGGCAAGCCGAGGTGCATTGGCGAAGGAAATGACGGACGCCTGTCCCATGGCCTGCTGGAAGGCTTGGCTGTGTCTGTACGTATATCGTACTCCCCTAAAGTCTCGTTGAAAGGCCATCCTCTCTTCACGTTCATCAGTCTAAATCTGCCTCTCTGAGGCCCCGAGGGGAGTGGATCTTAGTTCATGAGACTTCGGGAGGCACAACACAGCAGTTGCTGTCGAACTCCTAGGCCTGCAACTCCGAAAACAGCAACAGCACTTGCTGCCAATGGTCGGTCTTCTCGCATGCGCTGATGGTGGCATTGTAGGTGATGACATCCGGCTGCTGCTTTGCTTCGCGCAGTACTGAGAACAGAAACAATGCCATGCGCCAGTGCCCAACCCTCTCACAGGCGCTGATGGCAGCGTTGTAGGTCACCGTGTTTGCGACTACATGGCTCTCCTGCGGCATGCTCTCAACCTCCGCCAAGAACTGCAAAGCCATTTGCCACTGCTCGCCGGCTCCGCAAGCACTCATTGCCAGGTTGAATGTAACAATGTCTGCTTGCACTGATTGCCGCTGCAGCTTGTCAAACGTTGATAGCCCTTGCTGCCACTGGGTGCCTTTTGCAAGGGCACTGATTGTTGAGTTGTACGTGACGATGTTGGCCTGGAGGCGACTTGCCTTAAGGAGTTCCAGGACGCGTAAGGCCATTTCCCATTCTTCACCCTTGTCGCACGCGCTGATTGCAGAACTGAACGTGATAACATCGCGCCTTAGACGTTTCACCCCAACGGCTTCAAGCAGCAGTAGTGCATGCTGCCACTGACCACCATTCTCACAGGCGCTGATAGCAGCATTGTATGAAACTATATCAGGCTGCAGGTGCTGGGCATCGAGACTCCACAGCAAGGATAGTGCCCGCTGCCACTCACTGCCTACACCGCATGAACTGATGCAGGCATTGTACGTGATGCGGTTGGCCTGCAGGGAGCACTGGGCAAGTTCATGAGCCAGATGGAGAGCTTGCTGCCATTCCGCACCTTTTTCGCAGGCGCTGATCGCAGTACTGTAGGCCACTATGTCAGGCTGCAAGTCGAGCATCAGCAGCTCCTCCAGCAGGAGCAATGCCGTCTGCCATCTGTCCGAGGCCTCACACGCACTGAGCGCCGCGCTGTAGGTTATGATGTCAGCCTGGATCCTGAAATGATGGATCGACTGCAGAATCTCGAGCGCCTGCTGCCACAACCCACTGCCAGCGCAGGCTCTGAGGGCAGCGTTGTGCAGAACAATGTTACCCTGCATGGTCGAGCTCTGTTTCTGCGCCTGCAAGAAGGTTAGAGCAAGCTGCCACTGGCGCCCACAGCCAATCATGGCGCTGCTCCAGGTGATGCCGTCGGCCTGCAAGCCACGTCCTTGCAAGTCCTTGAGCGTGGATAGAACACCTAACCATGGACCATGCTCTCCAGCACTCAAGGCCGAGTTAAAGGAGATGAGATCCGCTTCCAAAGCTTCTTGAGCTAAAAGCCTCAGTACACTCCCGGCCTCCTGCCACTTGCGGCTCCTCTCAGCTGTGCTGATGAGCCCGTTGTGCGTCACCAGGTTTGCCTGCACATGCCTCGCCTGCAGATCCCCGAGGCTGTGCTGGGCCAGCTCCCACTCTCCCCCCTTGCTGAGCCCATTCATGACGGCATTGTAAGAGATGACATCGGATCGTAAGCTTGCCTGCGGGAAGGCGTCTAACACCGACATGGCCTGCCGCCACTCAGTTCCTTTGGAACACGCACTGACAACAGAATTGCAGCAAATCCCATCCATCTGAGCCTGGCTTGCAGCAAGCTCCTCCAAAAGCCCTACAGCTTGTTCCCAGCACCCATCTTTTTCGCAGGCGCTGATCGCTGAGCTGTACGTGATCAGGTCTGGTTTCAACTTGCTAGCTCGAAGCTCCTGCAACAACTCGCACACTTTCCGCCAGTTCGCCCCACATGCGCGTATCATCGTGTTGTACGTTACCAAGTCAGGCACGACCTGGCCAGTGCAAAGCTGCTGGAACAAGTCGGGAACACGCTGCTGCTGGCTCCCCTTGACACATGCGTTCATGGCAGCATTGTAGGAAACTGCATCCACCTCCACACGAGAGTGGCCCATGTCCGCCAGGACACGCAACGCATCTTGCCAGCGACGGGTCTTCGCACAGGCTCCGATCAAGGAGTTGCAGTGAAGCGTTGACGTGCCGGAACTGGGCAGCTCCATTGGTGTGCCCTTGAATGCACTAAATGCATCGACTGACTTGAGTGACGATTATGCTAGCCATGAGCCACAATGTCAGATTCGAAATCCATCACGGAACCAAGGATGTCTTCAAATAACAAGACAGATTCAAGGCCATCCAAGGGGACTTGATGATACCCGTGTGCTGTTGCAATGACGTTTGGTAAAATGTTTTGGTAAATAGCAGGACATGTATTTGAACACATAGAACAGACACCGTACACTGCCTCTGAGGCTGTCGGCAAAGGGCCCCGCCAACTCTAAACCATCCGGAAATCAATATCTATTTCAGACCACCTTCCACATTGCACCATTGGAATGCCAACCTTTTCGGGCCTCCAGGCTTTCCCTTCCGGGAGCGGAGGGGCAGGGGTTGGAGAGTTGTTGGATGAGAGGGCAGTCGGAGGAAAGGGCCGAAGAGCACTGGCAGCAACAGCGAAGAGGGTTGGGAGCGGGTTCCAACCACTCCAAAAAGGGACCGGGGTAAAATGGTAAGAATGTGAAGGGGGGTGGTGGGAGGGGGGGTTGAAGGTGCCAGGGTTGGAGGGTTGGAGGTTCGAAGGCAGGAGGGCTGCAGCCAAGCCAAACTGATCCCCAGCACAACGCTGGATACGAATTCCGATTCGATTTGAAGTTGGTCGCCCAGAGCGGAGAACCACACCCTTCGGCTGCTCCAGTACTCGATTCTTTCTAGGGCTCGTAAGATCATTTGGTGCCCTTTTCGCGGCTACTACCAGACGTTGAAAAATGGACTCAGCTAAGGCTCAAACAGCTCCATGCAATGATGCAGCAACCTGCATCTGCAAATTCGAGAAAAGGTCCTGGATCGGCAGCTGCTTGCGATTGTCGCAAGCAGCCACCGCGTTACTGAAGGCTATGACACTGGCTGCTCGCCCCTCAAAGAGCCGGTAGAAAAGCTGCATGACGTGGCTCCACTGCATGGCCTGTTGGCACGCACAGATTAGGGCATTAAACGTAATGACGTCAGCCGCAATGCGCCTGTGACGCATCTGCTGGGCAAGCTCCAGCGTTGGACGCCACTGCCTACCCTTCTCACAGGCGCTGACGGAGGCATTAAAGGTGACTGCATTCAGGAGATTGTGCACGGTGGCCCTTGCAAGCACTCCGAGGCCCTGTTGCCATCGCTGGCCCTTCTCACAGGCGCTGACTGCCGCACTGTAGATCACGATGTCAGCCTGGCACTCTGCCTCGACATCCTCGAGCAAGCCGAGTGCATGCCTCCACTGCCCCGACTTCTCGCAGGCACTTGTGGCCGCGCTGTAAGACACAACGTCGGCCTCAACACGAACACCCGCTGCTTCTTTCATGTCCTTCAAGAGTGCCAAGCCGTGCTGCCACTGAGAGCCTCGTTCCCAGGAGCTGATGGCGGTGTTGTAGCATATGACGCTTGCTGCCATTGAGAGCATTCGCATCTCCACAAAGAGGCGCAACGCCAGCTGCCATTGCCCACTCTTCTCACAGACGCTCATGGCTGTGCTGTAGGTGATTGCATCTACATCAGCCCTTTTCATGGACTGGGCAAGGAGCTCCAAGGCCAGTCGCCATTGCCTTCCCTCCTCGCACGCACTGATTGCTGCATTCAAGGTTACAGCATCTGGCTCCAGGCCGCAATCTGACAGATTCTTCAACAAAGACAGGCTGAGCGGCCATTCGCTGGCTCTGGCACAAGCGCTCATGAGTGTATTGTGGGCGTTCAGCGGAGCCTGAACGCCTGTTGGATAGAAGTGTCGGAAGAGTTGCAGCGCCCGTTGCCACTCACTTCCTTTCCCACAGGCGCTCATGAGTAAGTTGGCAGTGACATCGTCTGCCTGCAACCCAGCCTCTCGCAGCTGATGGAATAAGCGAAGCGCAAGTTGCCAGCAGCTGAGCTTTTCACAAACATTCACGGTCGCATTGTACATGACGAGGTCAGCCTCGAGCTCTTTGCGCGGGAGTTGCTGCAGGACTTGTAGCGCGCTTTGCCAAGGCTCCTCGCCCACGACGTGCACGATGGTGCTATGGGCCACGACATCGAGGCGCAACCCTGCAGCTTGCACACTGAACAGGAGTTCACGGCTCTGTCGCCACTGCTCTGCACGCAAGCACACGGCACCAACTCCGTTGTAAGACGGCATGTCAAGCTCCACCCTGCTCTTCTGCAATAAACGCAACAGGGCCAGTGTTTGCTGCCAGCTTCCTAGGGGCGCTAGAAGGGCGCGGTTGCAAAGCAAAATGTCCGACGGCAACCCCTTGACGGCCCGGCGGCTCTGCAGCACACGCAAGGTCAGGGCCCATTCTTGGGCCTTGGAGAAGGTCTCCACAAGCAAACTCCGAGTGATCCCATCAGCCCGCAGGCCCTTCTCGGTCAGCTTGCCAAGAATGCGAAAGCCTAACCTCCATGTCTGACACCCCTCCACAGCAGAGAGGGCTGCATTGTAGGAGATGAGGTCTGCCTCTAGCCACCTGACACCCAAGGCCTCTACAACAGCCATTGCCTGCTTCCACGACCTGCCTCGCCCGCAGCCAGTGATGGCTGCATTCATCGAAATCACGTCCAGCTTCAAGTTGGCATGCAAGCCAAAAATCAGCTCCAAAGCAAGCTGCCACTGGCCACCCTTCGCAAGAGTGCTTATTGTGGTGTTGCATGTGGTGACACTCACTTCGAGAAGCAAGGCTGCGAAGGATGAAAACACATCGAGCGCCTGCTGCCACGCGGAGGCTCTCTCACAGGCAGTGAGAGCCGTGTTATACGTAATGGAAGTTGCTTGGATGGATCCCTCTGCAAGTTCGGTCATCAAGAACCAGGACAGCTGCCATTGCCGCCCTTGGGCGCATGCGTTCATGGTAGCATTGTAAACTACGACGTTGGCCTGCAGCGTGCGGAGCTGCAGGCTCGAAAGCAAATCCAGGCCCTTCTGCCAGCGCGCGGTCCGAGCGCATGCGGCAATTGCACTGCTGCAGGTCCATGCGTCTACCACATCGCTCATGATACTGGCACGCATGGACAGGGGCGCGATGCCGATGTCCTTGTGAAATGGCTGACAAGCATTCGAAGGCAACACGTGCGAGCTAAAATGGCTATCAGCCCGGCCAGGCTGCGTATGTTTTTCGAATGACGACTAGATGCAGGAAACATCCGCCGATCCACACATCTGTCGCCATGTTCGGATGGCTACCAAATGCTACCAATCAATATGTGCATCATGGCAAGATTTGCCCATCAGAAGAAACAATGAGATCACAAGGTGTAAGACCGAGAGGGCCAACGCCCCAACACTTGACAAGAGATCCTAGCAACGCTTCCGAGCTTCCACGACGAACTTGTTCAAAGGGGGCCGGCTCCTTCACGACATCGTTGGCAAGGGACTCAGCATCTAGGGAAGGGGACCTCTTAGCTGCTTCTGTGGCAGCTCGGAACATCTGCCAACGGGTCGCCAACTCTTCGCAAATGTACTGGTGCCTTCGCTGTACGGCATGGCCCTGCTGCAGCACGTAGCAATGGGTCATGGCGGCTCACCGCCCAGGTGCTCCAGGACGGCTCGTAGCTCCGGCGCGAGCGGGGCGACGATGCTCAGTTCCTCACCATCCCAACCCAGCAGCCTGAGAATACAGAAGTGCCGAGAATCTCACCTGCCCCTATAGCTTGCCCCTAGCTCGATCAGCAACAGCAGATAACAGCAGCAGCAGCAGCAGCAGAAGAAGCAGACGCAGAAGGAGCAGAAGCAGAAGCAGAGGCAGCAGCGGCGACGGCGGCAGCAGCAGCGTTGGCAGCATGCATGATTGCCAAAGTTGGGTGTGCAGCTGGGGATCGCCAGCTGATGACAGTGCAGAAAAAGACGCGAGCACCAGGGCGGCGATTCCGGCCCATACTGTCCTTATTAATATCGCCCAGATCGAAGCACAAATGGAGCAACAACCAACGGCTTGCAGTGAGAGCATGAGGCTCACACGATGACATTTCTGGCCTGCAGGCCAAGCCGCGATCTCCCACCAAAGGCAGGCCCACGCTCGCCAAGTGCACGCGGATCTGGTGCATTCCTAGGATGCAGCTCACAAGAATTCATAGGTGCTGAAGTGCAAGCCCATGATGCAGCATGATGCAGCCATATTTTCTGCAGCCCAGGAGTCGTCCGGTCTTCGGCCGAGCACGGACCAGTGACCAAACCTGCCCATCGCACACGTAGGTGGCCAGGGCCTCGTAGCATGTCAGCGCCTGGCGGCCCAACACCGTGTCCACCGCCGCGCGCGCCGTGCCCGGGCCGGAGGGCACCACTCGCAGGGGCAGCTCCACCCGCTGCTCGCCCAAGGCCTCGGCCACGTAAACTCCATGCGGGCGAAACCGGCGCGGAGACATGCAAGCAAGAGGGAACAAAACAAGCAAGGTACCTCATCGACACCTCCGTGACAAAGGCAGAGGTACTGCTTTCGGACCAACCGGCTTGCAAATTGGGCCTTGAACCATTTCCCGGCAGACGTCTCTTCCGAGCCCAGCGCCACAGGGAGTAGCCCACTGGTCGGTACATCCAAGCGGGACATGGCCGTGACGGGATGATGCATGAGGCGTTGCGTCCTCGACAACCTGGCACAAGGCGCGCACAGTCTTGCGAAAGTACTTTGCTGACATGATGCCTGTTATCCACCAGAAAAACAACATGCCTAGGCACAAGTATGTGCATGTGTGGGTGTGCGTTTGTATGTATGTAGAAGTTGTCTGAGCTTACAAGTATCATGTGTAATTATTTGTCAAGAGGGCCTGCTCACATCAGTGGCTAACAAATTGAAAGGAAATTGGGAACCCCAACCTTTTGTGCTCGGCTCGGGTATGCTCCGGTCTCATATTTTGTCCACGCCTGTATGCCCGCCGCCCGCTCACACGCGCACACACAGAGAGACACACATACGCATACACATACACACATACGCACATACGCACATACGCATGCACGCACGCACGCACGCACGCACGCACGCACGCACGCACGCACGCACGCACGCACGCACGCACGCACGCACGCACGCATGCACGCATGCAGCAGCACACCCACACACACACACACACACACACACACACACACACACACACACACACACACACACACACAGCAACGCAACGCACGCACGCATGCACGCACGCACGCAACGCACGCACCGCACGCACGCACACGCACGCACACGCACGCACGCAGCACGCACGCACGCACGCACGCACGCACGCACGCACGCACGCACGCACGCACGCACGCACGCACGCACGCACGCACGCACGCACACGCACGCACGCACGCACGCACGCACGCACGCACGCACGCGCACGCACGCACGCACGCACGCACGCACGCACGCACGCACGCACACACCCACACCCGCACGCACGCACGCACGCACGCACGCACGCACGCACCCACACACACACACACACACACACACACACACACACACACACACACACACACACACACACACACACACACACACTCGCACACAAAAAAGAGGCGGTCTGCTCGCGAGGGACGAAAGGGCCACAAATCAGTCCGAGAAGCGCATCTTCGGTCAGCATGCCCGCTGGCTTGTTGAGAACTACCAGGCCCGGGTGCTGAGACAGTATCTCAACACCTCCCAGAGAGCCTGCAGGCACCTTAACTTCAGCATCTACGTCGGGCCAGGTGGCGCGCAGCGCCTTCAGCAGCATCGTGGCGCTTGGCCGGCCTCTTCTCTTCAAGGCCGCGCTGACTGCGCAGCCGACGTGGATGCCGTCGATGGCCACCGTTCGCACGTCCATGCCCCGCATGACTGCTAGGGCCTCCTCCCACCTCGCCCCAAGGTCACAGGCACTCAGCACCGCACTGTAGGTGGCAACATCTGGCGCCACCTGATCCGCGAGCATGGATGCCAGAAGGAACAGCGCGGCCTTTCCATCAAGTTCAGGACTCACCCGACATCCAACTTAGACCCGTGCCAAAGCAACCATGCACATCAACACAAACCAAGGCGCGAAAAGTTCACCCCCTCTTAGGCCCCTCTTGATTTTGCACTGGACTGAGCGCTCAAGTAATCTGCCCGGAAAGCAACAAGAGACCCCGAAACTCTGCAACTGGTTTCGCATCCCGATTTTGGCGCGCCCCCTCATACCCCTAAACCCTTTAAACCCCAATCCTAAACCCTGAGCCAACTAACCTGATTGCAAGTAAACCCACCGAAAAATCCGACGCGCTTGGAGCAACTCCTCAGGGCCCCACATATCGTACAGCCACCGTTTCAGGCTTAGTTTTGGACTTATAGGGCTTATTCTGTATAGAAAATAACTTGTACCGTAAGACAGCTCTGATCAGTTTTGACGGTTGTGACCACTTGATCCCGAAAGCCTCCCATGCAGTGGAGGTTGCACAAGCTTTGATGGCTGCCGTGCACGACACGGTATCTTTGCCTGTGCTCCATGCTTCCATCTGGCGAAGCAAGATCAGGGCCCTCTCCCACTCCCCGGCACGCGAGCAAGCCGCAATGGCCGCACTGAAGGGAACATTGTCCACATGGACGTGTATGCTGAGTAATGTCTCCAGGACCTGACATGCAGCTGTCCACTGTCCGGCTCGTTCACAAGCAGAGATGGCCGCAGCAAAACTGATGTTGCCAACTTCAAGGGACGAGGATGAAAGATCACTCAGAAGTGCCAGCGCATGATCCCACTTCTCGCCCCTTCCACATGCGGTGATCGCTGCACTGTAGGCAATAGCATCTGTTGAGATTTGCTGCGAAAACATGTCTCCGAGCAGATCCACTGCGGCCGTCCAATGACCCGTGCTTGCACACACACTAATGGCCGCGCTGCACGTGATGGTGTCGCAGCGCACCTGACAGTCGTGCATCTGCGCCAAGAGCGCCAGTGCCAGCTCCCACTCTTCGCCCTTCTCACAGGCAGAAATTCCTGAGTTGAAGGTGATGGTGTTCCTCTGAATGCCTTCGCCTTCCATGGACCCTATGATGCTCAGGGCCATGGACCAGAGACTGCCCTTCGCACACGCGTTCACGGCAGCGCTGCAGAGTATGGTGCTCTTCTCGATGGACCTTTGGCCCATGCGTTGCAGCAACCACAGAACATGAGGCCAGTGCTGCGCCTTGCCACAAGAGCAGATGGCCGAACAGAATGTGATGGTGTCGGAAGGCACCTGACAGTTCCATTGCATGCAAACACCCCGCCTTTTTTTGCTTTCTCACTGTGGTGGCTTCCGAAATTGGGGTTACCTACCTTATTGGGGTCCCTTGGGGTCCAGTTTAGGGATCTCCTATTTTCTCTTTGACAGCGGGCGCTTATGATCGCGGGCACCTCCTTGGACTGCATGTCCTCCAAGAGCTGCAAGGCTTGCGCCCACTGGGCGGAGCGCTCACATGCACTCACCTGGAAGTCAAGTGACACAACTTGACACAACTTGACACAAATGGCATGATGAAATGCCATGCCCTCATACAGTAGCAAAATCTCACAACTTCCCCCAGAATTCCCCGCTTCAGCTAGGACGAGTCGAGGCGCCGCACAGTTGTATGCAATCTGCCCCGGCGCAATGCCTTCACTCTCCATGGATGCGAGCAGCGCGAGGGCCGCCTGCCACTGCCGGCCATGGTCACACGCGCTGAGCGCGGCCCCGAAGCACTTCAAGTCCTGCCCAAAAGGACGGACCGCGCACAACTGCGCGCACAACTGTGGCCACCTCGCAACCCTCAAGTTTCCCATGCGCGCCTTCACAAGCAGCCAGCCCACCATGTCATCCAGCAGTTGCAGTGCTGAGACCCAAGCACCTGCTTTGCTGCAGGCGCGGATGGCTGCGCTGAGATGGATTTGATCCAGCTCCGCCGCCTCTCCTCATGAACGCACAGTAACGCACAAAGCCCGCACTTTGTGCACCGTGGATCTGCTTCTCTCTGAACGGCATCTGCGGTCCGTTTGCGTTTGAACAGTTGAGGATGAAGAAGATGAAGTACTTCTACACTTCAACAGTTCTGACAGGCACATGCAAACCAAAACCGTGGCTCCTGTGCCGAGTTGTTAACTGAGCCTCTGAAGCTGGTTTCCCAGTCGAAGCCCCGCATGCCGCGCGTTTGGGGGTTGGTAGAACCGGCCGAAATCACGCAGAACCCCACAGAAAAAAGGCAAAAGATGACAACAGCCAGTGTCTACCACTTCACTACACGACCGTCCTCGGAGGTTCTGCAGCAACGAGAGCGCGTCGGGCCAGCGCTTTGCATCCCCCAGCTGCACCAAGGAACGCGTGGCCAGCCGAGGGTGAGAAGAGAGCGTGGCCAGGTCGCGGCATGGGTGGGCCTGAAACCCTATATAAACCACCCTAAGAGTCACCTAACTAAGTCCAACCCCAAAACCCCCTAAACCCCCTAAACCCTCTAAATCCTCTAACACCCTCTAAACCCTCCATACCCTACGGTCTAATGAGCGTCCCCATAGCCATCTTCACAAAAGTTTGATTTTGGTGGCTTGTGCCAGGCCTGTCCGCAGCATGGCACTGACATCGGCGGCTTGCTGGAGCTTGAAGCCAGGATGGGCTATTACACCCAGCCATTTACAGACCCCTTTTATGCGGCTGCTTATGGGATCATAACTCATAACCTATACTCCCCTTAGAACCTTGTAAAAATATTGTTAATAGCCTCTTAGGTTTTATATAAACTAAAAGGGGGGATAGAGTAACAAGGCCGAATCGCAACAGGCAGAGATGTCTTGAGCCAAGTGGCCAAGCGTTACTTCGCACACCGGCCGCGACAAGCTTGCTTCCAAATTGCAGAATATGGCCTGGCCCCGTTACGCTTGTCCAGATCGGCTCCACTGAAGCTCGATGCGAACAGAATACTCGTTTCAGCTCGTTCTAGCACACCAGAAGATGCTAGAAGTGTAATGAAAAATCTTGGGACATGCTAATATATATGAATAAAGAATCATGTAATAGTATTCTGGTATAATGATATAACAACATAGTAATAAAGTTCAAGCACCTCGTCAGCGCAGCAGGAGGGGGAGGGGGCCAGCGTCCCCAAGATATCTCGAAAGGCCATTGATGCCTCACACAGTCCGAATCGCAGGAAACCCCTGGGATGCTTTAAAAGACACCCGCATTGTGGCTTCAGGATGGCTAAGGCAGATTCTTTTTCAAAAGAAGAGGAGAGAAGAAACAGAGAGTGGCACTGCTATAGGTTTTATAAGGATGCTTTGATGGTCCTTCGGCAAAAGGAATGCAATGCAGTATGAAGGCCTTTTTTGGGCCGATGAAGTCGCTCCCCCCCCCCCCCCCCCGGCCCAGAGTTCGGAGGGGGGGGCATCTTTTTCGCCCCTGTCTTGGGTGCCCAACGCGCGTTGCGCCAAGTGCTCCACGTGCTCCAGGGCTGCCTGGAGCTCCCCAGGAAGCGGGGCAACGATGTTGAGCTCCTTCCCATCCCAGCCAAGAAGCCTGAAGAAGTGGCTTAGGTCTGTTTTCTTTGGTTTAGGACTTGGTAATTTAGGGTTCAGTAGTAATTTAGGGTTAGTAAGGGTTTCGGAATTTAGGGTGGGTCTACAGGGGGGTACCGAAGGTAAACATGAAGGTGCACACACATTGCAAACAGTATGGCGTGGAGGGCGATGTCAAGCTCAACGTCACAGGAAAAAAGCTGAGACTGTCCAGCCGCAGCACGTCAAGGAATAGCAGTGCAGGAACAAGCGGTGACACCAGGATGGCCTTTGCAGCCCATAAACTCCTGAGTGCGGCCGGCAATGTAGGGTTTGTGAAGTTTCGTGTGCGCCATGCAGGATGGTGAGGCTTAGCCGCCGGTGACGCGCTCTGGCCTGCAGGCCAAGCCGCGATCCCCCACCAAAGGCAGGCCCACGCTCGCCAAGTGCACGCGGATCTGGTGCATTCCTAGGATGTCGGGGGACGCCCCACCGCTCACAAGAATTCAAAGGTTCTGAAGCGCAAGCCCATGATGCAGATGCAGCTCATGACGCAGCATGATGCAGCCATATTTTCTGCAGCCCAGGAATCGTCCTGTCTTCGGCCGAGCACGGACCAGTGACCAAACCTGCCCATCGCAGGTGTAGGTGGCCAGGGCCTCGTAGCAGGTCAGCGCCTCGCGGCCCAACACTGCGTCCACCGCCGTGCGCGCCGTGCCCGGGCCGGAGGGCACCACCCGCAGGGGCAGCTCCACCCGCTGCTCGCCCAAGGCCTCGGCCACGGCAGCAAGACTCGCTGGTTGGGTGGCAGATGCATTGCTCTACAGGCCCAGGCATTTTCAAAGGGGCACCCCTCCAAAGTTTTAGGAACCCTCAACATGAATACGCCCAAGCCCCCTCTACAGCCGCGGCACAGGCTGCAGTTCACCATGACAGAGGCAGTGGTATTCCTTCCTTGCGAGGCGGCCTGCGAACTGCGCCTTGTACCACCTCACAAGGCTCCGTGCACTTCTCGATTGTTGGGGAGAGGGCTACCGCTCATGTTTGATGAAAAGGGGAGACAGCATTTCTCATTGCAGCCGGCTCACTTGGGGCCTGACATACCCTCTGCTCCCAGAGCGACTGGCAGCACGCCCGAGGTAGGGACGTCCAGGCGAGACATCTCGGTGACAGGGCCACGGCGGGCCAAAAAGTCCAGCCTCCCAGGTTTTTTGAGGCGCTCTCATATAGGGCCAGAACCAGTCCGTCCTTTCCGTCAATTTTCCTTCCTTTTAAAGTTTCTGTCCAGGCCAGAGTTGGACCCTGATCTTTGTTGTTGCGCCAAGAAGTGATGCATTCACCTCTTCACTGTCTCTGTTCTGCTTCTTGCAGGAAGGCTGACGCGCAAGTGCATGGAAATTCTCATATACTGCCTAGGCCCTGAGGTCAGGCTAAACAGCTGCCGTTGGAGCTTCCATGGCTTAATTCCAGTACGACAAAGAGAAATAATGCATTCTTGGCAAACAAGACGTGTTTCCGTGCTACGAGTACCCCTCTCACCCAATAATCCAACAGGTTGGTGTATATTTTTATCGGCTATAGTTGGCTGCCCATTTGCTTGGAGGAAAAGAAAAATGGACACGAGCTGCCACTGTCTCGAAGCCGCACATCCTCCGTCCGCACGCCCGCTGGCTTGTTGAGGACCAAAAGCCCAGGATGCCGTAGAATCACCTCCAAACCTCGGGTCCCAAAGCTGCAAGCTCTAGGGATGTGAGAAGGGGCTCCCCCTTTTTCGAAGTGTGGGTCCTTTACAAGGGAAGCATAGTAAAAACAAAACAGGGGATGGAGGGCCCACTCTGCGTCCTGGAAACCTTCCGTGTTGGCATCCCGGGACTCTGGCATGGGAGCGCGCCATTCCGAGCGCAGGGCTTTGAGAAGCCGGATTGCAGCCGGACGCCCGCGCCTTTTCTGAGAAGCACTGATCGCAGAACCCACGTGCACACCATCTGTGGCCACAGTGCGTGTCTCCATGTCCTTCAGCACGATCAAGGCTTCCTCCCATCGCTCCCCGAGATCACAGGCACTCAGCACCGCGCTGTAAGTGAGCACAGATGGAGCCAGGAGCTCCGCAAGCATTGATCCGAGTAGAGAAAGTGCGCGGCTCCACTCGGCAGAGTTCGTGCATGCAGTGATCGCCGCTGTGCATGCTGCGGTGTCCTTTCGAATTCGCTCTGAGCCCATCTTCCCCAACAGCCTCAGAGCTGTCTGCCATTCCCCCGCCCGAGAGCAGGCCGCAACGGCCGCGCTGTATGCAACAATGTCAACCTTGATCTGGGCCATGACCGAGTAGCCTAAGACCTGACAAGCCACTTCCCATTGCCCAGCCTTCTCGCATGCAGAGATGGCCGCTGAGAGGCCGATACAGTTGATTTCCACACCTGCATTTGCGCTTGCGAAGAGCAGGGCCAACCCACGCTCCCACTGTTCCCCCTTCTCCAGCGCACTGACAGTGGAACTCAGGGCGACTGCGTCGGCCACCACCCTGAGGCCGGGCATGCTTGCAAGGATATCCAAGGCTGCAGTCCACTGGCCGGCCTTGCAGAGGGCGTCTGGGTTCACAGTTTTTTGGGGGATGCTTCAGAGAAAGCCTTTAAAGCAACTAACATTAAATTAAAAAAACAAACAAAAACAATAATGATGATCATAATTATAATAATAGCATAAGTATTCATAATAAGTCACAATGCTAATCATCATATTCACAACCACAATCAGGCTGTTTAAGGTGACAGCTGTTTCGACGGCCTTCCCGCAGGCGCTGATGGCCGCGCTGCAGCTGATGGTGTCGCGCGCCACGTCGCAGCAAGACATCTCCTCGAGGAGAATCAGGGCCTGAACCCACACCCCAGCCTTTGCGCAAGAGGAGATGGCAGCGCCTCACTTTCTCTAGGAGGAGGGCATGGGAAAGGTTCGGCTGGAGTATATACATATATATAGTTCTTTAACGTTGCTTTTTTACGATGAAACTCCAAGACTTCTGATTCTGACAAAACAAGGCCACTGAAGGTGATGATGTTCCGCGGAACCTCCGTGGCAGCCATAAAGTCGAGCAACTCCAGGGCTGGTTGCCATAAGCCGGCACGAGAGCATGCACTGACTGCAGCGCTGCAGGAGATGGTGTCGCCTTGCAACGCACTGCTTCGCATGCGCCCCAGCAGCGACGTGCTTTGCCCTAATTCCTGGGCCTTGGCGCAGGCAGAAAGAGCGCTGCAGGTGACAGCTCCCTCCGCCTCAATCTTCTGTTGCCCCATGTCTTCCAGCAGTTGCATCGCATGCCCCCACTGGGTCAGCTGCTCGCACGCCCTCACCTGGTGGCAGCTCCAGGGCGATTTTCGCGGAATGGACAGCTCTGAACACTACATCGTTAATAAAATATCATTTTCTCAACATTAGATTGCGAAGAAGACAAAGGGGGGACTTGATCCGACCCAAGCCACGGCATAGCCGTAGGAGGTGCAGCTGGGGGCCGAGCGCTCTGCTGCCATGGAGGCCAACAAGCCCAAGGCCTCCTGCCACCTACCTAGGATGGCCCTTAAACCCATCTGAAAAATTATTTCCTGAAGATGATCCTCTTAAACCCAATAAGGGTCATATACCCTGAAACCCCTCTGAAAAATGTTCCCTGAAGATGATCCTCTTAAACCCAAGAAGTGAATATAGAAAATGTCCCCAGGGCCTACCAAGCTACCACACTGCTCACAGGAGCTGAGAGCTGCGCCGAAGATCTTCTCATCCTATCAGGGTTTAGCGATTTTTTGGGGATTTTTTGGGGCGGGTTCAGGGCAGTTCCTAGTTGCTGAGTACCCCCTACCCCCCTCTTGCCCACTTCCCACATGATTTGCTCAGCTATTCAGTTTGCGCTTGCGGCCTCTCATCCACGGCACAGCTAACGATGAGCGGTTGAAAGTTATGAGGGGCCTCAGGACATGCAAGAAGCCGATCTCAACCCCACCCTTCAAGACCTTGCTTTCCAACCTTTGCACATGGAGCCCGCATCTCCTTGCGAAGGCGCAGCGAGTCGGTGCCTTGAAGCAATGCCAGTGCCACTTCCCATTTTCCAGACTTGCTGCAGGCGCGCATGGCCGCAGTCATGTGGAACTGGTTCAACTGTATGCCTTCTCCTCGCGACAAGGCACATCGGCGCGTGCGCGCCGGGGGGCTGTGTGTATCAACAGGAGTCTACTGAGCCCTAAACCCTAAACCCGAAACTACTCTCCCAAACTAACTCCTTGCAACCCTCAACCAACCATCCGACTCAACTTCCAGGTCCTTCGAGGCTGCAGAGGAGTGCGACAGCAGCTGCCCATTGCTTGGCATCTCCCAGTCTCACAAGATCTCTTGTGGCAAGTCTCTGGCTCACCGCCGCCTGGTCTTAGGCTTCAGTCGCTCACTCTCGCACAAGGTCGGCAAGGTTCGTTTGTTTGTTTGTTTTTAGGGTTTTAGGGTTTAGGGTTTAGGGTTTAGGGTCTGTGTAGGCACTCTAACAAAGCTGAGGACGCGGTTGCTTGGGGGTCAAAGGAGTAGGAACCAGACAGAGATAAGGCCCACCCCCTCCACCAGGTCCATCAGACTAGAGAAGCAGAAAGATGTAGGGTTTAGGGTTCAGGGTGGAGAGCTTCTACTTCTACATTTCAAGGCTTCGCTTCGGAAAGTCGGGCTGTAGTCTGGCTTCTTGTGTTGGGGCCTAAGGGCGCTTCAAACCTTGGGCTGTTGAGGCCCGAACTGTGGAACTGGACTTCTGCCACATATCTTCCTGCTTCTTGGGCTGTTTTAAACCAAACCAAAAAAAAAGACAAATCAATGGCCTAATTGACACAATGAAAGCTTTGGGACCAGGGACAGGAAGTACCTAGGACAAGGATTTCAAGAAGCCGAAGCTGTGGCTTTTCGCACTAACGGGCCTCCATCTGCAAGGCTGGGACTCCGTGTGACCGTGGGCCGAGGGGAGGATGGGGCGGTTTAGGGCTTTTGCTTTTAGGGTTAGGGTTTAGGGTTTAGGGTTATAGGGTTTAGGGTTTAGGGTCTAGGGTTCAGGGTTTAGGGTTCAGGGTTTGGGTTTAGGGTTTTGCCGTATGGACCAGGGAGCTGAAGCCTGAGCCGACACGCATAAGCCATCGGAATCCACATGAGGCACCCTCTGGCTCGAGAGGGGGCTGCTTCAGAATGGGATCCCATTCTTCCCCTCGCCCCCCACCCCCCCGCCCCAAGAGGGAACATCACCCCAATGATTCCACAATGTTGTGTGTATGCCGAACCCTTAATGCCCTCAAAGCATGCACCTCGAAAAATCTCTCTTTTGCCATCACGCCTGCCTTCTATGTGTCTACACAGTGTGTAATCCTAAAACGCTCTAAACCCTAAACCCCTGCAGCACGGGCTCTTTTGGCAACTTGTATTCGGCAGGTCCATCCCTCAGGGATGCGGCCATAAGTGCCGGCGTCCACTGCTTTCGCAGACCAAGCTCACCGAACATCCCGGAATTAAGGGCGCTTACGGCTGTGTGCATCAAACAACCATGAGCCTCAAATATCTTAACGCTTTTTTACGGCATGACTGCTGCCTGCCTGGGATATTAGCCTGGACTCCTTGCTGCCCGGCTGTAAGCAATGTAATATCCCTGAACCCTAAACCCTGCCCGAAAAACCGCACGAACACTCGTTTTTGGAGTTTGGAGTCCTACATGTTCCCCGGTTCCGTTGCTCTCTTTGCTCTCCAATGTGCAGCCCAAATGCTGTTACGTGCTGTTTCAGATATGGACTGCAGAGGGTACAAACTCCCCATGGAATGGCGACTTAGTGGGAGCGGGCTTCGCCCAAAATGTACGGCATAATCTGAGCTTAGGAGACGTGTCGTTTGGGCATTGCACGTGTACTCTTTCTTACTCTGACATCGGCTGACTATGTCACCTACCTTGTGCACGTCAAACAATATCAGACACTTACCGTTAACGCTGCAGAGGCCCCTTGTTTCAAGAAATCGCAACAGCAAACCCGGAAACCCTAAACCCCTCTCTCTCTCTTGCGTACTCAAACCTGCTGTCAGAAACCCCTAAACGTTAAACCCTAAAACCCATCAACCCTAAACCCCCAGCTCACACAACCACGCTCGGGTTCGTCTTCCTTACAAGGCGGCGCGTGGAATTTTATCCTAAGACCCATGCTCAAGCATACTAGTTTAGCATACCATCATAAGTCCCGAGAGTTTATAGCCTTTGGGAGTGGGAGTTTCAGGATTCATCCTCCCGCTGACTTACAGCGTGCTACGCTGCTCTTCGGCTTTCTGAGCTTTGTACGGCTGACCTGGAGTGACCCGTATACCTTGGGATGTTCCCCCTTACACTGGCAGTTCTTAATAGGGACTATAAGAGGGGGTACTCTAGTCCCAATTAAGGACTGTTAGTATAAGCGGGAACATCCCACCGTATACCTGTCGAAGGGAAATTGCCTTTTTCAGTGGGTCTGTTCAACTGTTCCCTTTGTTAAACGGTGGCGGCTGTGGTGGCTTGGTAGGTTCGAGGGAAGGCTTTACAGGTCTTCACCCACTCCGCACAAAAAAACACACACACACACACACAAAAAAACCACACTGATGCTCCGGCCGAAGAGTCCGTCATGGGCCCATTATGGACTGTTGGACCCATCTATAAGAATTACAAGAATATGCACTCAACAAATTGCGATCATACTATGATGTTGTGACACAACATAGTAAAACACCAATACTACATTTATAATACTGCAACAACATCAATAGGGTTTAGGGTTTAGGGTTTATTGATACAAGAACATAAGTGGGTGTCAAAATTATAATCCTTTGTGGGGTACCCTAAATACTAGGTGCCGTATTATCATAGGGATCCAAAAAAGGGGCCATAATTTTGACAGCCACCCAAGTAGGTGAAGCTAAACCCTATAAACCCTAAACCCTAAACTCTCAACCCTAAACCCTAAACCCAGCATGAGCCACCAAGGCACGACGCGGCCCAGGCGCCCTGCGAAGCTGAATAGTCAAATACCCCTTCATAGGGTTTAGGGCTTCGACTCTCACACCAGCGCACGCGGTTTAGGGTTTAGGTATTTCTTTTTTTAGAGTTTAGGGTTCAGGGTAGTTTATTGGGAGTTTAGGGTTTGGGGTTGTATTTTCCTCCTACGCAACTGGTTTGAGTTTTTCGGTACACTTCTCGACTAAGATTTTTTACCACATCTTGGCGAGGATAGTCCAAGAAAGGTCATGTTTATCTGTTACATGATTCAAAGGCGTTTAGGGTTTAGGGTGTTTTTTTCTCCTGCGCAGCTGGTCTAGGGTTTTTCGGTACGCTTCGCGATTAAGGTTCATTTCCACATCTTGGTGAGGATGGTCCAGAAAAGTCATGTTTATTCATTACATGATTCAAAGGCCACTAACTGCAAAGCTTGGGAACAATGAACCAGATGATAGGGATGCATTACATAATCATCAGGTGAATCAGGTGTGTTCTTCTCGCAATTATTGCGACAAATTGGACAATTTTACATGTGAAAAGTAAAAAAATGTAAGAAAAAGCAAACTGATGAAAGACCTATTTATGTAATAGCACAAAATACGTCATCAATTGCTGAACAAGGTATTGAAACTGCTTTATCAACAGGTCTATGGGTAATTTAGAGGAGTAGGTAGCACGTTATTTACAACGTTTAGGTTGGAGTCAAAGTACATCAGATTTAAGAAGAAGACCATCTCCTACAATGCATAAATCAACATCTAAAGTTATTTCTTTGAAACACGTTAAGAACAACCGAGTGCAGTTTTATGTTGCGTTGAAATTGCTGAAGGAGTTGTGAAAAGTTTGTACAAAAGTAGATGATGTCATTTATGTGGTGTGAATATATCAGCCACTGACAAAGATTAGTATATGCGAAAAGGCTGGAAGAATACATTTCATATTTCTGCTGTTGCAATACCTTATGCATGTAGGTTGGTATTTCAAGAGCTAACAGCCAAAATGTGCTTCCAAAAACTCACACTCGTCAAGATTTGTATAGTGAAGACGCTTAATATAAAAATGTTAAGATCCCAAACTATACTTTCATTAACCAATCTTTGAATAATCGTACTGCATTTTTTGCAATTGTCCGTTGCATTGGAATCGGTTTTAGTCGTCCACTGCTTCATTTAAGCCACGAGGTGCAGCCGCAGTCCCGCTCCGTCCACTAACCTCAGTCGAACTTCAGAATGCCCCGGTTTAGGGTTTAGGGTTTAGGGTTTAGGGTTTAAGGTTTAGGGCCGGGTGCCCACTGGCGAGGACGATCTCAGAACTCATCGCCGTAGCCTTCCCTTTTCCCTCACCATGAAGTGCATTGCATGCATTAAGAAGCTCTTCGTACTGTTCAATCACTGCTACTAGATTGCGATGTGTCGTTAGACATATTGACATGATTAATCCTCTCATTTCAAAATCAACACTTCAGCAAAACTTACTAAAGGAGCGTGCGATAATGTGTAACATCAGTTGTTTATCATAAAAATAATTGAAGTTATTTCAAGATTAAATATGATGATATAATGTGTAAATACAAATCGGCATTACAGTATTTTCAAAATATTAACAACTGATAATAATGTAACAACAAATGTGGTAAACGTCCTCCGTTTTCGGAAGTATAATGCACCTAAACATAAATATCTATTTCTGGATAGTGATTTAAAGAGATAGAAATAAAGAACCATGGGTTAGTATCAACTGTAACGATGTTATGAAACATATTAATTTTCAATGTAGGAGATTCTATTTTTATGCGATACTTGTGAAAACGAAGCATGTGATGTTTTGTTACCACCTGATACAAATGTAGCTTTGATGTAGTTCTGTCAGAAGCAGGTAAATATGATAACTTCAATAAATTCTGGGAACTAACTTGCAATTCAAGGACTTTCTGTTATGTTTTTTTCATTTGTTGGTATTCGTTTTTGCAACTCGAAGGAGGCATCACATAACAGTAGACAAGACATTTGCCAATCTTCGCGAATCGCAACAATGAGCCAGTTCAACACCTCTGCAACCCTTTTAACCATGTAAGAATATGAATTCTACAGTAGGATCTGGACATTGAGGGCTTGAGGGCACTGGGGACCGGTTTTGCAGTGCTCTGAGGACAAAACCGCCCTCAACCCTCAACCCTAAACCCCCGCGCCCCTTGCCTGTGGCGCTCCGTGGCTTGAGGGTGGTCTGCTCACCCTCCGGAGCTCCTGAAACTCGTGCTCGATGAATTCACAGAGCCTGGCAGGTAAGGTCAGGCTCGGAGTGGGTCATTGTTATAGGCTTCTACAGCACCACACTACACTGGGCTGTGCTCGATGGCATGCGTATGGCATCTGTGTGATCATCAGGTGGTGGTCTGTCAACAGGAGAAGCTGACACCAGCGGAGACGCTCGAAGGCATGCAGTAAGCGCCGGGCGAGTCCAATTTCATGCTTTGCCTGCATGCTACAACATGTCAGGGATCCCGTGATGAGAGACATTGCAAGATGGTCACGGAGCAAGCCTGGTGTTGTCGTACATCAGGGTTATCATCTCCAGTTTTGTGGCATGTCCTTTCAGTTTCCTTGCACCGGCGAGGAGTACGCAAGAGGGTACTATTCAGGCAACCAATAAGAAATTGCGGTGCGGCCTTGCGCAGTTCCGAGTTGCAGGCAAAGCTCATCGTCCCATTGATGAACTCATCTATAAGAATCTCGTCGTTCTTGTCGTCGTCAAGAATTCTAAAAATGATGGAGGCCTCCCGCACCATCCCAAGCTCCCATGAGCCATGAGCTGTCGGTTTAATCCCCCCCACCCCGTACTGTTAACTACGTTATGTTAAACTATATGGGGGGTGATATTTAGGGGGCAGGGGGGTTTAATAATTAGGGGAGGGGACTGCAAATAGACGGACCTCTTCCGGATCAATATCCAGGTCGTGGAAGAACGCCTGCGTAAACAGAGGCCATAGAGAGCAAGCGCCAGCAAAAACTGCTGGCGCGGCCTTGACCATCGGTGTCTTCAGATGGCCGCAAAACCTTGGTTGGTTTAGGGTTTAGGGTTTAGGGTTTAGGGTTTAGGGTTTAGGGTTTAGGGTTTAGGGTTTAGGGTTTAGGGTTTAGGGCTTCAGGCCGAGTTCTTGAAGGGCTGTCTCCATCAGTAGATTACACCTCCAAAGTTCAATGTCAGACATTATAGAAATCATAGCCATATCAGAGCCAGGGCGTGCAGACTTGCTGTGAATCTCACGGGGGCCCAAAGCAACCTTACGCGGACCTGCGGCAAAGATGCTCTCTGTAGCTCAAGGTTCCAGATCCGTCAGTGTCCGCGTGTTCAAAAAACTTCCTCGGCAGCTCCACATTCTCCAAGCAAGGCTCGAAGAGTCTAACCCTAAACCCTAAACCCTAAACCCCATTAAAAAACCGCTCGGTTGGGAGGAGGGTGTCGGGATCGGGATCGGCTGAAGACTCAGGGCCCTTTCAAAAACACTCGGCTGTGTGAAGGTGTGAAGGAGGCCTGTGGAACCCAACGGCGGTTTCTTGAGCTCTCCATGTCGAAAAAGGCCCAAGGGCTTGGGAGAAGCACGGGGCGCCCCCGGAATCCAAGAATTCCCGCATGTGCCCACGGGCTGGTTGCATCTGCGGCTCTTGATCTCTGAAGTGGTACGCTTTAAGTCATCCATGTAGCTCCTGAGCCATGAGGGGCGACTTGGCATTGAAGCCCCCCTGTTCAAACAATTTAAGCATTCTGAGTTCCGACCTGCTCGAAGGGAGAACTGGCGTGCAGTCGGTGCCAAGGCACTGAAGCACTTCATCTTCAGTTCTGCAACACACGGCGCTGTCCACAAACACTCCTGGCCGCACATCACGGCAGTCAGTTGGAATGTTCCCCCTTATACTAACAGTCCTTAATGGGGAATAGAACGGGGGGCACTAGAATCCCTTTTACGAACTATAAGGGGAACATCCCAAAGTGCATGTATTGTTGGCAGAGAAGGCCACCCGGAAAACTTCTTCGAGCGTATTCGAGCATGCCCTTCCAGTTCCAGTACGTGATGCGCGCAGGCCTGTCACAACATTGAAAAGTCCGACGACACCTTGGCTGCTTCTTGGCATCTTGCTGAAAGTTGCTTTCTGGCACCAAAGGCATTCCTAGAAGGCTTCAAGTCATCTCAAGTAATAGAAGTCATCTCAAGTCATAGGGCTGCAAAAAAAAGCCGCCGAGATACAAAAACCGGTGTAGAAGAGGAATACGGCGAGGTACATATAGCTACCGTCATGGTCCTTGGGAGCAAGGTGAGGCAAGCATGCCCACAACTCGATAGCGGATGAAGACAAGCCGCCATGATTATGAGTGCGTTCGCGTACACCATCCAGTCCTGAGGTTCATGTAACCGGTCGAAACAAACATGACGCCAGCGTAGGCAAGAACAGGACAGGCACGTTGCACATCCACAGCAGAGTGCACACCCCTGTGAAGCACGACACGGACCCACAGTCCCTGCCGCACCTAGGCGAGAGCGCGTTTTGGCATGCAGCGATGCCAGAAGCCCGACTTTGCTGAAAGTTCTTGTTTCATCATGGCACCGACACGGCCAATCAAGGCCTCCTCACCCTTAACATGACAATTGGCCCCGTGCTGTGGCTGGACATATATACGCCCAAATTAGAAGCAGCATTGCAACGCTCCCAGAATTTGCGCCAAGGGGCGTTGCCGCCGCTGACTGCGCACCACAAAGACAGCATTGTCAAGGGCAGGTTCCCGAAATGCTGTTGCACCTTGAGGGTTTAAAAGGGGGTAATTATGATATGAGTGTTTAGGGTTTAGGGCCTAGGTTTTCGGTTTTAGGGTTCTCACAAAGTTATCAGGGTTATGAAGGCTCGGGCTGGATCATTACAAGCAACTACTGGTCGGCGGCACAAACAGCAGCCGAGCGGCGTCTTTGGCGTCCGCAATGGCATCGCCTGGAGCAGAAAGCAAAATCGACGCTCTCAGGTCAACTGGCCCCGAGGGGACCGGACCTGCCTAACCTTCACTTGCACTGCGCAGGGCGACCGGCTGCCGCCATGCTACCGGACTTGATGACTGCCAGCGCCCTAAACCCTGCACCCTAAACCTTAAAACTTCTTATATAGGCTGACAGGGTTCAAGCCCCCAACTCCTGCCGAGACACCGTTATCCAGGTCGACGGATTCAAAATAAGTAGCCTTGTGTCATGGGCAAGGAGATCAGGGAATGCGCTGGTTTTGGGGGGGGGAGATCCACATGTGGCCACGCCCCGTCCCTCTTTCTCCACAACAGCTAGTCCAGGTTCATGGCTGTTTCAAGCTCTGGCTTGAGCTCCAGGGAGAACTTTCCCACAGCTTCGCCGGGCAGGCTTCCGGGGCTTTCGACCCACGGCTTCTCCTCTTGCTCCTCCACGTCTTCGTCCAGCTCCGATTTCTCCTCCTGCTGGTCCTCCTTCGCGTCCTGGAGAGGCAGAACACCATTGTCTTCCTCATCCTCCTCTTCTTTTGCGCTTGTCTTGTGCTTCTTGCGAGCCTTGGCATGCTCGGGGAGGGATGCTCCATGCTTCAGCCGGTCTTTTCTCTCCTTCTTCTCCTTTTTAGCCCTTTTGTCCTGCTTATCGCCTTTGGCCTCCTTGTTCTTCTTGAGCTTCTTGTGCTCCTTGTGCTCCTTTGCCTGTTTGGATTCCTTGCCCGGTTTGTGGCTGGCCTTTTCCAGGTCGCTCGCGGCTCCCCTTGCCATGTCATCTTCTTGCTGATTTGCCTCTTTGGCCTGTTCTGGGGCAGGCAGGGGCAAGGGGGCAGAGGGGGCAGAGGGGGTAGAGGGGGCAGAGGGGGCAGAGGGGGCAGAGGGGGCCGCGGGGGCAGACTTGGGTGGCGCAGGAAGTGGCGGCGGACCTCTGAGAGGCATGCGGCCAAGGACGCTTACTGGCAACTTGGGCCGCCAGTTGCGCCACGTGGCGTCCACTTTGTGCAAGCTGCCTGCATCCGGAGCCGATTCGGCACGGGCGTTCTGTGACCAGAAGTAAGGCAAATGGACCACCGGCCATCCGTCGTCGTGGATGTGGGCACAACGCCACTTGGAGCACGTAGTTGGCCAGCGGCGATCTGCCCATTCCTCTGACGGCTCACTTGTGTCGAACCCCTCCGGCATGCAAAGGAGTTTGAAATCTTCGGGAAGCGACTCGGGCGGGAATCGGCCGGTTGCCTGGCAGCGCTTGGTTAGCGTGGCCGCCTTCTCCGCCAGCAGGAGGTCTGCCCTTTGCTTCTGCTCGGCCTCTTTCAGGCCTACCAGAGGCCCCCACTTCACCAGCTGCTGCTCGACACGCAACCAAAGCGGACACAGGAACCTGCGACCCCGCCATGACCGCCATGCTGGATAGTAGTTGCTGCGCGTGGCCGCGGCCAGCAGCAAGCCCACGCCCAGAGGCGTGAAGTAGTTGTGGGACAGATGGAAACCATGAACTCCTGGCTTCGGCGAGTTCTCGAGCAGCACAGACAGCGCCTGTGCCGAGGCATCACCCAACCGGTTCTTGTACAGCTCCAGGACCTGCACCAAGGTGGTACCTGACAGCAACGCCTCCACCAGCATACGGACCGCGCGGTCCTTGGACTTTGCTCAACTTTTGGGGGAGCCCAGAAGCCAGGAGAGGTGGTTGCAACGTCTGCCGGTTACCCCCTCCTGCACTTATAATAAGAAGCCCTACACCCTGAACCCCAACCCTAAACCCGATGCCTTTTAAAAGTCCAAGTGTCGCCGAGCTCGTGGTTCGCAAGGCTGAGTTGGGCAAGATACAAGGGAGCCGGGGGCGGCAGCTCCAGGTGCGCCCTGAAACGAGGCATCTGGTCCTTCAAGTCCGAAAACTTTCGCGCGGCCTCGATATCCGTGACCTTGCGGCCCAGGCCGCTGGAATTCTCCGAGTTGCAGCATAGACAGCCATGCCCCGGGTTGTCGTGATCCTTCCACACCTCAAAGGACAACATGAAGGCAGCCTTTGTCTGCACAGCACGCAGCCATCATGGAAGCTACAAGCGACAGCAGCGAACCAGGTCCAAAACCCTGTCAAGCTGAAGTTTTCTGGCTGCACGATGTAGCGTGGCTTGTCCGTCAAATGATGGTCATGACTAAGCGACCAATTCTGCCTTTCCTGCGCTTCTTTCAGTCATGTTCTCGAGCCAAAATGGAAGCTACCGCATCTCTCTGTCCCTGTGCGCATGACTGTGCTTAGGTGTGGGTTCGGGAATGGGTGTGAATCCGCGAACTCCCCATGGACCAAGTGGCTGCTGAGTTGGAAAGGATGATGCCGAAAATAAACAGGATCAAGATCACCTGACAAAACCGTAGCTGTTGGGTAGGTGGGGGATTGTCGGTACGCAGTCGGCGGCTCACGATATACATTCGCCGTAACCCAGGCTCCGGCCACAAGGAAGGCCCACATGAGGTCGATGAAGGAATTCGCGATTGAAAAAATCCTTGGCGTGTGTGATCACGCAAGCCGCCATCCCAGCTGCGCACCGAAGCCCTCCACCCCAAATTCCCCAGGAGCCCACACCCAAGACCTTTTCTTAACTTTACAAGCTCATCGGCTACCACTCTAAACCCTAAACCCCATAAACCCTTAACCCTAAGCCCTTTTTTCTTGCCTCAGGGCTAAACCCTAAACCCTAAGCCCTAAATTGTTTGGGACCGGGTGGCATGGTCCGGAGGCGGCGGAGCGCCTGCAGCTGCAGCAAGACGACGACTGCAACTGCTATGCTTGCTAACTGCTACTTCTACTGGACTCTTACTCCCACCGCTACTGCTGCTGCTTCTGCTACTACTCCTGAGTCATGAAGGACTACTTGTTCCGTGAAGTACTTACACGTACGTTAGATATCTCTCCAGGCACTTGTAGTTGTTGGCAGATCGCTTGAATTGAAAGTCCACCTTCTCTTCCTGCCGGCCCCCTTGTGTGTGGGGCTACAAACTTTTCACCCTAAACAGCCCGAGATCCCAAAAACAGGGCTCCATCTTAGACCCTAAACCCTAAACTGGCCCTACTATACATTCGCCTCGGCTTCCTGCCGAGAAGCGTCTGGAACAAGCAGGATCAGGCCTCCTTCCTCCTACAGAGGGGCTCCCCCACCCCCCCACCCCGCCCCCACCCCCCCCACCCCCCCCACCCCCCCCCCACCCCCCCCCCACCCCCCCCCCCACCCCACCCCCCCGCCCCCCCCCCCCCCCCCCCCCCCCCCACCACCCCACCCCCCCCCCCCCCACCCCCCACCCCCCCCCCACCCCCCCCCCCCCCCCCCCCCCCCCCCCCCCCCCCCCCCCCCCTCCACCCCCCCCCACCCACCCCCGCACCCCCCCCCACCCACCCCCCACACCACCCCACCCCCCCCCCCACCCACCCCCCACCCCACCCCCCACCCCACCCCCCCCCCCCCCCCACCCCCCCCCCCCCACAGTCAGGGAAGGCCTTGCCCATTTTGGGTAATTGCACCACCGTGGCCCAGATCATAGCCATAATATCCTAAAACACTTTACCATATAGAAAATAAGGTGCAATTATCCAAAATGGACAAGGCAATGGGGTCGCCCAGTTTGGGTTATTACATCACCGTGAACATATAATTCACAACTAGTAGCTCATTATCCTTAAAATACTCTTTCTCATCCTGTTTATCAGGTGATGTAACATCCTAAACTGGGCAAGGTTAGGTTTATTCGTTTTATGGGGCATAGTATGGGGCGTTTGGGGGTTTCAATAATAATTTAATTTTATTATTAAATTATCATTGGTCAATAATGATGACAAATAATATTAATATGTTAATATTATTTGCTTATGGGTCGTGGTCAAATAAGTCAAAATTAGGTTTGTTGAAATATACATCCATGATTTTATTAAAATCGTCCCTTGCCTTCCATTTTGACCAATATCTCGGAATTCTGTTTTCTATGTAATCTGTTGATTTATGATACATCACATTTTCAAACAAATCTTTCAACATGCTGTACTTTTTTTGACTGATATTTTTGATTATGTTCTTAACAGATTCGTAACTAGGAAACCTGCGCTTCAAACTAAAAATCAACTTATCAACTTGATATTGGTGAAACCCTTCAAACACAACAAGCCTTTCTAATTCTTTTTCAACTTCTATTCTATTTTCGCATCTGATGCACCGGTGAGCGTAACCGTAAATTTTACTTGCTACAATTTCTGGTATTGGTAACTCATTTAGCACACAATATTTATCATGCTTTTTATAATCGTTGCACTTACAACTACTTCTTTTCAGTTTGCTATTTGTTATGTAATCTTTCGCTTTAATGACATCCAAGAATTGATTGATGATATTTTCTTGTTCTTGTTCACTGAACATTTCCACTATAATATATTAAGCCGTTATTTCTTTAAGTGCTTTTTCTTAAGAACTCGGTCTTAATACGTTCAATAATAATTTAATTTTATTATTAAATTATTATTGGTCAAACATTTATTGTTTTAGGTGTTCGCCGTATTCTTCTTCTATTTTCTGAATACTTATATTAGTCCATTTAACAGCATGTTTTGGTTTTATATCTAAATATTTAGTGTCCGGACTTCCTCCATTCTGACATAATATTTCAATATGCTCAATCAATTCTGAATATTTTTTTATTAACTGTTTATCTTCTTGGACTTTTCCTTCGAAAAAAGAAATATCATTCTTAACATTACAAACATCTTCGTCATCAAATATACCTTCGTATTTTTTCAATAACTTTATTAACTCAGTAATTTTATTCAGATAACCAGTTTCATTAATCTTTATTTCGTATATCTTTTTGATGTATTTTAATTGGGTCTTATAAGTTTTCAGATTTGTATCATCCATTTCCACTATGATATATTAAGTTGTTATTTCTTTAAGTGCTTTTTCTTCAGAAGCCTTTCTATAAGAAAACTCCCCGTGATCATTCCTTCCCTTTAAGCCTAGATTTTTCATTATTATTTAAACAAGCCCTACATGTTTTATTATATACCTTCATATAATGCTTACTTACAAACTCATCTACACATTTTACTTGCTTACATGCTTTACATTGCATGTACTGTGTTTTACAATCACTGCCTGTAGGAAACTCAACAGAAATATTATCATCTAATTCACTCATTATTATTAGATGATAATATTATGCATAGGTTTTCGTCTCTTCGTTATACTTTATATTGTAATAGTCAAGGGTTGTTTGTTTCGGTTGTAAAATTTCCTTGTTATTCAGTTTAGTCAAATATGTGTTCTTCTTGTTCTCATACGTTGCATCAACTGGTGTTCTGTTAAAGTTTCTTGTAGACCTTTCATTTAGTAATTTCTCTATCCTCTCCAGTCTCAGTATGACGTCTTGCTTGAAGTCAGGTTTATCACCCATATACTTACATATACATTAAGTTTTTAAATAAAAACTTTTATAATAAAACTTTTATATTAAAATTTTCATAAACTGAATTATGAAAATTCTAAATTCCAAACTAATTAAGGATATATCTTATGTATATCCAAATTATGTAAGTGTTCCAAGATACTCCCCTTTCTCTTGCTCACTTACGATGTCTGGGTCTCACACAATTTAGGAGCAATGGGCGCACATTCGGGGTGTTCATCCTGTTTCAGTTCCAAGAGGGGAATTCAAAAGATGCGAGGAACGAGACTCGCATGGCTGTGCGACTATACACTGTCAATATATATTAGATTTTAACTTTTAAATATTAATCCAAAATATTCAAATTTGTTTTCAATTGTTTAACATCTTTTTTTACTTCTTCTACGTCTTCTTCAATTTTATCTAGTCTTTCCTCACACTCTTCGGGTGTAATTGTCCGATTTTGACTCCATCCTGTGCTACAAAGTTCAACGCCTCCAGTTTGTGGTGCTATATCTGGTTTAAATATTCCATCGTCTGGTGATACGTTCCTGCCTTTTCCAATGCGAAAGCTAGAACGGTCTTCTACAACATTAACAACAACCTTATCATTTTCTGTTGTTGTTTTAGTTTCTTTATGGTATGTGTTTCTCTTACATCTACAAAATAGACAATTAATGCCATCTTTATTTACACTTACGCCGCCATCAGTTCCATCTTTATTATTCTCTTTGTTTGAATCGCTCATATATAAATGTATATTAGTTTTTCTTCAATTTTAAATATTGCAAAATCCCTTTACATATTTCCAACACCGAGTAGCAACACCTACGATATCTAGGCGTTGTTATTATTATCTGTTCTATTTCTTCAAGGTTGTCAATGACATCAATGCAATCACCGTAATTCATATATTATAACATATAATTTTTCTAACTAATATTAATAATGAACGAGAATGTTCCGACGGTAGAACCAATTGATATACCCAAGTACCAGTTCAAAAACAGTAAGTATGAGATGATGCCATCTTTACCTGCGAGAATGTTGGCGGTGGCTTCAAGTACAGGCGGTAAAACAGTTTTGATACAGAACTTAATATTGAAGATTTACCGCAATAGCTTTGAGAGAATCTATATATTCAGTCCTAGTGTGGATGTGGACGACACGTGGAATGCAGTGAAGAAGTACATAAAGGATGTAATGAAAGTGGACTCGGAAAAGGAACAGATATATTTCAATCATTACGACGCAACTGCCTTACAGAAAATAATAGACACCCAACACAAGGTAATAGAGTTCCAGAAGAAGAACAAAGACAAGGATTTATTCAGTATACTAATAGTCATTGATGATTTTAGTGATGACCCACGTTTTGTAAGATACTCCAATATTCTTCACGGATTATTTACCAGAGGTCGTCATAATGCTATTAGCGTCATCTTGTCCACTCAAAAATACAATGTTTTAGCGCCTATCATCCGTTTAAACAGTAGCGCGTTATTCATTTTTAGACTTAAGAATATGAATGAAGTTAATGCGTTTATTGAAGAAAACAGCGCTTTAGTTGATAAGAAGACTTTGTATGATATGTACCAACAAGCAGTAAATGATGCTCCCTATTCTTTTTTCTACATAAACACCAACGCTAAACACGCTAATAATATGTTTTTTATTCGCTTTGAAAAACGGTTTGAAGTTTCCGATGATTAATAAATATAAATTATTACGATAATTTATATTTACTGATTAAATCAATGAGTAACTACACAAGTTTATAGCAGGTAGTTTATAATATATTTTATCACTTTTTGTTTCCTCTAGTTTTTCAACTCTTTCAATAACATCTTTCAAAGTATTGAATAGTAATATATCTGTTCTTGTTTTTTCATGAATATCTAGCTCTTTTATTTGTTTCATATTTTCAGTAGCAGAAGATTTAGAAGATGTAGAACCCATATATATTAATTTAGAAATTTATACCTATCAATTTCTTCAATATCATAAAATAGTCCTTTATCAGCATCACACATCTCATCATATAAATCCTCATAAATCCAATAGTTATACCCTCCCTTTTTATCTTTATCATTCCACATCTCTTCTAAATCCATAACATATTTAAACTGGTAATCATCAATATATTCTATAAATTTACCATAGTTTTCTTTTATGTTGCGTATGTTTTCTTCTCTTAGGGTCGGATAATAATGTAAAAACTCTATAAATAATTGGTTTATAAAATAATCAAATATGGCTTTAATAGCAAATTTTTTGATTGTAAATTCCATATCTAAAAAGTATTCATTATAATAACCACCTTTAC